CACTTGTACTTCTTTGGGGACCCAAGCCGATTCAGCCTCTTGTCTCTCTTGATCCAGTTACGCTTTTCCACTCGGGTACCCTTTCTGCTCGGAATTGAAGTTGGGGAGGTGTATTAATGCCCAGTATCCGTGGGAGTCGGTGGGCTTGAAGGGATATGAGAGGGGAGAGAGACATGGTAATGGCGTCTCTCTCCCTCTCTCTCGCGTCGGACCTTGCCAGACTCGAGCCGAGCCGAGTCAACTGAGTGGATTGCTCTCTTCGTAGCTCTCCCCTTGCCTCGTCCCAGTCCTTGTCGACTACCTCTTGATCCCTTTTACACACTAAACCATCAGGTCATCTGTTGTCCAGGGCGTTTAAAAGCCCCGATACCCATCCCATCTCGCAAGGCTGTACCCCTTGTGTTCTGTCCGCTTTGTCTTTACCGACTTCAAAAGTGTGATTCTTATTTCCCCACGCAAAACACAAACTGCATTCCCTCTCTGTTATTTTTCAATCTATCGCGGCAAACAAGCTCAAGTAAATACCCCAGAACAAGCCCACGACGCTCGCCACAATCACCCTCCTGTTGACCGGCACGAGCGTGAAATTCAGCAGCGCCACAATGGGCCACAGCTTCCAACTGCTAATCATCAAGGGGACGGTGTCCCTCTCGACTTCCTTCTGCACGGCCTTGGCCGACTTGCCCTTGAAGGCCGCCATGGCGGCGATAAAGCCGACCGTATTGACGAACGCCCCCAAGGTCTGGTCGAAGAGGAATTTACGCAGCGTGTTGGGGATGTCGAGTTGCGTGTCGGCCGTCGGGGCGGAGGACGTGGTGGCCGAGGAGATGGGCGCGATCGTGTAGCCCGGGAACTTGTCTTCGAGGTATTCCTGCCAGAGGATGTTGGGCGGGCAGGAGATGAAGGTGAAGAGCACAAACTGCACCAGTGGAGCGAGCTTGATCCTGAAAGGGACGGATTCTCGATAGGCCGTTATGCCTTGCGCGGCGAGGTTTGAAATGGCGGAGAGACATGCGGCTTGGAGAGTGGTCGTGATGAAATGGGAGACCATGGTGATGGTGATGGTGGTTGTTCGCTCAACTTAAGACAATATCATGTGTTTACAAAGGATTGGAAAAAGGACATCGACGAAGAAATGTGAAGTGTGCGCCTCGCACGCCTGACTTGAATTGCAACCACCCGATGTGAGCCCAATTGTTTGAATTATTTCATTTCACATGCAAGCTGCCAGATTGCGGAGAACAGAGATAAAGGAGATTGTGGAGAAGCGCCACAACGCCACCGGTGTCAGAGTACGGTACAGTAAGCAGCCCTCAACGCCACGAGCAACATCTGCGTAAATGCCACTAAATCTTACCGTACGAGATCACGTGAAGTACGGGGGAGCGGAAAGCCGCCCTGCACCTGGCAGGGCCGGGTCAAGTCTCGCATGACAACGCATCCCAACCCGAGCCTCCCAGCTGAGTTTTGGTGCCCGAAGTGAGGCGAATCATAACTCTGTACCCCTTCGCAGTCACCTTGTCGGCCATGAATAGTACCGATCCCTGACGGCGAACACGGAGGACACGATACCTGGGAAGCAGGAGAGGAACAACGCGGCAAGAGGTATCCCAGCCTCGTGGGTGCGCATGACCAAGAGGTGGCTGGGGATCCAGTACGAGTAGTCGTGCGTGACGGCAGAGATTATCAGGTTGCAGAATGGGCCAATCTGCTCGGGATGATCATGTGTGAGCGCCAGGCAAATAAGAAACCCAGTCATTGTGTCCTCGGTGTGTTGGTCTCAGCGCTCCCTCGACGCTCTGTAATTCGTCCCATTCGTCGCCCTGGTCGGGTCGAGCGATGGAAGTCCGATTGGTTTGTCGGAAAGGCTTTGTTGACATGATGAAATTGAGAAAGGGCGAGGCTGGCACTCCTCGAGATTTTGAGGAACCGAAGAACCAGGGAGCAAAGTGCTCGGTAGACATCTTCTATCATGGATCTCAGATCTCGACGGTGGCCGGGCCGCTTGGTTTAACCCAGAGCCTGCCAGAGCTGAGCTCCATGGGCGCCGTCACCACCGTGGGCTGGCACGCTGGGTTCCCCGCGCCTGCGCTTTTCCCTTCCCTCTTCTTCCTCTTGCCCACAGCTATTACTCCCTCAGTGCCTCCAGCTTGAAAACTCATGTCAAAATGCTCCTTGGGCTTCCTTTTTCCTCCTCTACTCTCCACTCTTCCCACGCTTCCTCACCGACTCTCTATCCACTCTATCCATCTCTCCATCGATAATCCGGTTTTTCGCTGTATCTGACACTGAGCCACCCTTTGCGCGACCTCGACCGCTCCACTGACATCAATCCCCCCCGTCCTCAGTTGCATCCGGCGCGACACCCCAAGTTGGCTGTGCGGTGGATTGAGTGTCAAAACAACAGCATCTTTCGATCATCTTTTCTATTCTCGCCCGTGTGCCGTCCTCGTTACATTCCGATATAGTTTCTCAGATCGCTTCCTCTCTTATTTCAAGCTTTCCGGGTGCGCCATCGTCGATACCATCCCCGTCGCGCACCGGCGCATTCTACCTGCAGTAATCATCTCCAGCTACGTCAAGGTCCTAGGCGACCATGGATCAACAACAGAAGACGGCTCCTCCGGTTTACGATCTTTCTCAAGGCGGCCACTATGGAGCCAGCGCTGCGGTGAGTTTCTACATCTTCCTCGGTCCGGATGAGCATGGGCGCATCGCGTGCGCAGAAGAGGAGGACGCAATACGACACACTGGTTGATGCGATATTTCGATAACGTTGTGGATGAGCGAGGTACTGACTCAACATTAAAGCTGTCCGCTCAGGGCTATGTCCCTCATACTGAGTTGTACTCGGGACTATGGTCAAATGTATGTGTTTGTTGATCCATCCGAACCCCCGGTCGCTAGACACATTGCTCACCAACCTTCAGATCAATCAAGGGCTGACTGGCCCGTCCCGGGAAATCCTGGCAACGTATTGGCAACAGACTATCAACCATCTCGAGACTGATACTCACGATTTCAAAATCCATCAACTTCCTCTGGCAAGAATCAAAAAGGTCATGAAGGCGGATCCGGAGGTCAAGATGATCTCTGCTGAAGCTCCCATCCTTTTCGCAAAGGGCTGTGACATTTTCATCACAGAACTTACCATGCGCGCTTGGATTCATGCAGAGGACAACAAGAGAAGGACCCTTCAGCGCAGTGACATAGCTGCGGCTCTGGCCAAGAGCGACATGTTCGACTTTCTAATCGACATCGTCCCAAGAGAAGACAGCGCCGGGCACGGAAACTCGAAACGGCCCAATACCAGCGGCCAGGCTACGGCCGCTCAAGTTCCCCAACAAGCTGCACAGCAAATGCCACCTCCGGACTACGGCATGCAGCATGGAACAATGGGCCCACCGGACACCCAATACGGTAGACCCCAGATGTATCCCAGCCATATGGGTGGTGACGCACAACAAGATCCCAGTCAGGGCTATGGCCAACCTCAGCAGATGTTCGCTGGCGGTGATATGTACAATCCCTACGCCCAGGGACAGTTTGGTGGCACTGGCGCTCAACAGGTAGGTGGACTTCTGTGATCATCATAACCTACAAGTCGAAAAACCAATGGCCGTAGACGCTGACTCTTTGCTTCTCAATAGATGTACTCGAATCTCCCGGGCCAAAGACCACAAAGTCAAGGATATGGAGGTCCAAGGCCGGGTACCGCAGGAAGAGATCAACAAGTCAATGAGCAAGGTTACGGCCCTGGCTAGGTGCCACATCCGAGATCGCGCCGCATGTGATTCTCAACCATGGCCAGTACCAGAAGATCTCCCGTACCCCAGCTTTGGAACACCAAAATTGATACCACTACCGTTTGATGAATTTGTTTTGAAGTAAAGACTGTTACGCTTTCCTCGTTCAGAAATGGATACCACGAGCACCGGTGATAGCAATATCTCACCAGAAAGAACAAGGCCGAGCAAGGCAGGAAGACGGAATAAATGATCCATGGGCTCCAGCACAACACGATTTCTGATAGACTGCATCCGCAGCAGAATGGAATTCTTTGGTTCACAAGCCTCCAGATTTTGGCTTCTCCTGCGTCCATGTGTCGTTGCTCCTATTCCGATGTGTCAGACTGAAATCTATAAAGGTAGCGTGATTATGATCGTTGCGTATACCTCGTTCCAACCGGCAATCACTGGGAAACGCGTCACAAACTTAATCTTCCACAACGAAGCGCTCTTCAAACGCTTCATGTCAGCCTTGCGAGACACATCGCCCACCATCAGCATAAATGCGCACGATGCGCTAAGAAGGCCCGAATAGAACAGTACCCTCTACTCATGCAGGACGTAGCGACAAAGCACGAGGTGTTCTGATGACAATGTGGATGGATTGGATATGTGGGTAGATGAACAGATGAATAGATGGATGAGTTTTCAGTTTATGGATTGTAAATAGGAATGCATTTAAGAAAGGAGGCTTTTTTTTCGAACTTGAATTTGAATGTGACTGTGACTGTCTGTCTACGAGTCGAGATTAGATGAAAAATGGATGGGGTGTATAATTATGGAAATAGATATGGATACCTATAGATGTACCTATGGGAAAAAATATAGGGCACCATTACAAGTGTCAGAGTTACAACCCACGAGGTTGAGGTTGAGGTTGAGTGAGGACCTGGGTATCTAGTACACATGCTCTACTAGCCGAGTGTCAAGTGTTGAGTACTGACTACTGATTACGAGGACAAACTGTAGGTGTGTGTGCAACGTCATGTAGGTCCACGAACGTAGGTAGCAGGTAGGTAGATAGATAGGTTAGATACATGGAGTACAGGCATATTTGCAGTCGGACAAGTCGCTCCAGCACCCATTTTGAATTTCGATAGAAGCGCACTGGCCTGGCTTGTCTAGTCAAGGGAGCCACGCGAAAAAGCATCGAGGGACATGTACAAGACATACACAACACACGCTAAAAAAAGGATGTGTGGCTAACAGAACTCATCGCCCACCATGCGGCATGAATCGATTCTGCAACGCGGCAAAGGTATTGCCCCCTCTCGACCCGGTGCTCCCGCTGTGCGCCAGACCCGGACTGTGCACGCCGTCTCTTCCGCTGTCGCCGTCGAAAAGCCCGTGTCCGTGCCCGCCGGCGCTCCTGGCCGAGACGGGCGACCGGACGTCCACGTGCACGACCTTCTCCAGCAGCTGGGGACCCTTGAGCGGGTCGACGTTGCGGTACTTCTTGTTCCGCAGCGAGATGTCGTAGAACTCGTCCGGTTGATCGGTGCTCATCAACGCCACCGTCTGGATCAACTCGTCCAGCGACTCGAGCAGGATGCTGTTGTTGGGCAGTGTCTCGACATAGGATCGGAAGTGCTGGATGTCCATGTCCATCTGGGCGATGCACGCCGTCGTGATCCTGTCCACTTGCGGCGACAGGGGGAGCGAGAGGATGCTCGAGGCCGTGTGTGAGATGGCGTTGAACAGCATGAGATCCTTCAGCGACGACGGCAGGGAGAGCAAGACGCTATTGATGATGTTCGACAGGTACCTCGTCAGGGTGAGGATGTAATTGGACGGCTCGGTGGGGAGGTCGCGTGAAAGCCAGTCATACTCGGCCGTCTCGATCAGGTCGCTGACTTTGCTGTTGACCAGTTCGAAAATGCGGTTCTCGGCCGTCTTCTGGTGAGTGCTGAACTGGGCCGTGGCCTTCAACGAGACGGGTGGGCCGACGGTCCCTCCACCGCCGAGGGCCGAGGAGGACGACCGCGCCGTCGCCAGCAGGGTTTCGAGTTCGTGGCAGGCAGTGGTAAAATGCGAGAGGTTGATCAGAATCTGCACGATTTGGCCCAGGTACTGCGACGAGAGCTTCGACACCAAGCTGGCACAGACTTTGGTTGTCAGGAGGTCGTCTAGCGACGTCAGGAGTTGGGAATCGATCTTGGACGTGAGGGGCGAGGGCGCATTGTCCTCCTGCGCCGAGAAGAAGTAGAATTGGTTCAAGAAGTTGCGGATGTCGATGCAACAGAGTGGATACATTTGCGAGAAGGGGAAGACAGTCGGGAAAGTCATTTCATGCACTGGACGATCCGGCGTATACCAGGATACATTGACGACCTTTTCGAATTCTTCGGCATTCTGGATCGGCATGGGCATGTAGTCATCTGTACCGACAATCTCGATAAAGTCCTCGCTGAACCGCTGCTTGAGCAGCTCAGCGTACTTATCAAACAGCACCAGCACAAAATTCGACATGGCCGCGGTGTTGAAGTTGAAGCCGTTCATGGTCTGAATGAACAACGAGATCAGGTTCTTGATCTTCAGCAGGTGCTCGGCATTGTCCACGGCAGACAGGGCCTTGGACATCAATGAGATTGCCGTTTGGCAGAGTGAGTCCCACAGCTCCTCGACTTCGGTGGTAGAGCGTAGGTCGGGGACTTTTTTCATTGTGGCACGTTCCATGATGGCGAAGCCTGCTATATCTTCCAAGAGAGTGTGCAGATCACCCATCTCGTCGTCAACGAGGGAGATGGAATTTGAAAGGAGAAGATCGCGTTGAGCACGACGACTGGCTGCGTAATCGGTCTTGAATTTCTCCATCTGACCAAGTGAGCGGTAGATATGCAAAGCTTCAAACAAGGGAGTAAAATCCACTTCCAGGTCCTCGCTTTTGAGCAGGTCGAATTCCTCGTGCTCATCTGCCACGAGTTCAATAGCAGAGTTGAGTTTGAAGCTGGCAAGGTAGGGGGTCTTTTCAGATCTTTCCTTCAGCCGCTGCTTGCGAAGGTCGGTATGGTAGAAGGAGAGCTCCCCCAGATACTGGGACATTTCTCGGACGCGAAATAGCCAGGTGTTGAGGTCGGCCATCACGGCTTCAGCAATGGATTTCTGGATCGCAGGCACCGATTTCTGAATCAGCTCGCTCAGCTCATACTGGGTGACATTCTGAAGGTGGACGCTCTGCAATTCATCGAGTGCACGCAGAGCGGCATAGTGTTTCTTCTGATCCCGAAGCTCCTGGACCTGGTTCGCCAGGCGCAAAACCTCCAGACAATCCTGCAGAGCATGCCGGGCGTCTTCGATATTTTGTCTAACACCGCGGGACTCAACCAGGGCTTTCTTCTGGTCTACGAGACGTTCAGTGCTTGCTTGGATGGACTGGTTCAACTCTAGGATCTCGTTGGTGAGAGTAACGGTGCCTTCGCGAATTCGGAGCAGCTGATTGACAGACTTGACAAACTCCTGATGGTTCGTGTTGCACTGGCGCTCAATCTCTGACTCCCGCTCACCGGCAAGGTCGGATAACTGGCTGAGCAGATGTGCGGTCTTGTTGCCATAGCTGTAGTCTTTGATGTAGGGGATTAACTGGTCTAATGTGTCTGCCTCCGATGAGGAGGTGACGATCTGATCCATGGTGTCAGCCTGGAATTGCACGATGACGAGGTCTTCCATACCTGCTGAAGCACATTATTTATGTCATTCCTGTAGGGCGCTACCGACGGCATTGTCACAAGTGCTATCCTATGTCTGAAAACACTTGGATCTCCTAGGGCAGGCTAGCTTCCAGTGTCTGGAACTGGATTCGCGTCAATGTTCGGCTACACGTGGCTTGTCTTATGGTGGCATGGGAAAAGGACAATCGGACAAAGAAAGCTGTGAGAGTATTGGATCGGATAGCAATGATTTCTTTTCGTGTTGAACATCCAAGCGCCTTGCAACGTTGCACAGAAGGGAGAGTATGGTAGACTCTGTGATTCTCCTCTTCTTGACAACAGGAGAGACTGAGGTCGGCAGACTTGCCATGACAGCGATATGTCAGATACTATGTGATCGTATCTTAGGACAACGCTAACCATATAGCGTTAGCGTGCTGGCCAAGAACCTCAAGCAACAACCTCACGACTTCTCTTGTTCCCTTCTCTTCTGTAGATCATGCCAACATCATCCAAGTAATCCTTCTCTTAAGAGAGACGGGGCATTGCAGAAGCTCACTGTGATGTCTGTGAGTATTGATGAGCTCGCGCTGCTTAGGTGGGGCTTGAGGATATTCGCTTCAAGAGCAGACACTCTGCAACGTGTTTGGTTTGTCTGAAGGACAAGGGAAAAGGGCTGTGTTGAAACAAGAACATTGCACCTGTGCCTTGAGAATAATGTCAGCAAACCTGACTCTTCTGTGCTGTGATAAGCAGTGCAACAAGACAAGAAGAACATGATGAAAGAGCTAAATGCAAAGACGTGATCCATGGAAGTGTGGACAAGCCGTTGTCGTGTGTCCAAGCCTCAGAGGCAGGTTCAATTCGATGAACAAGGGATTCGCAAAGCGCATGCGTCCGCTTATCAATATGGTGGCTGAAATCGTTGGGACCATGCAAGCAAAGACAACGAAGACAATGATGTCGTCGTTGTCTGGGCCGCAAATTCAGTGAAGACACCCAGCTGCCGCTGATGTCGTCGCAAGTGAGGTGCACAGTGAGAACGCAATGGGAGTCTTTGGCCTCACATCGGTCACATGTGGAAGATACTCGTTGCCGCAGGTAAGGGCTGTGGGATGGTCGCCGCGCATACGAATTCTATGGGCAAGACGCCGACCAAAGCGGCTGGGAGGGTTGGAATTGATTTGAAAGCCTCGTTTGTGGGTGAAAGTCGACGACTCTCACTTGGCAGTGCCGTCGCTCCCTCTCTCTATCGTCACGACGACCATTACCTGCGTCATTCGAGATTCCTGTCGTCGTTTGAAATCGGTCTATTCCCGTTGCGGGTTGTTGTGAAGAGTTTCCCAGCCGCTCCTTCCCACGAAAAAAATTCGCATCTTCTTTTTTCCGACCCAACTCACCTCACTCCTTACCATCTCTCTCTCTCCTTTACCATCCTCATCACACTCCTTCTACTCCATCAATCCCTCGAATCTTCTTGGTATTCGTCCTCCTTCATCACATTCCTTACTACAGCACACTCTCTTCATTGTTTTCAGAGCGTCACCTCATTCCAAAACCTCATCTCTGCACGTTTTTTGGTAAGTTTCGTCCAATGCCCATCAACTCACTGCTCTACCAAGACAAGCGAGTTTGCGATGGCCATCATCACTGTCCCTGCCCCCTCCCAAGCCTTCATGCCAGCGTCCGTGGCATTGGTTCTCACCGCCGAGCCTTTGCTCGTTGCCTGCATTGAAAACTTGATGTTTTTGGACTCGAGTTTTCAAACATCACCAGACACTCTCCTTCCATCCTCACCTCTTTCAATTTGAGCCACCTGCTAACTGCCTGCAATGAACAGCAATGTCTCCTCCGCGTGGCTCAGCCATGGCTTCCTCTCCTCACTCTACTGATGAGAACACCAATCATGGATCTCCATCCACCAACCTGACTGCGTTCACTCCTGAGGCCGACTTCGGATCCAAGGGACGTGTCTCTGACTTCGTTCGCCCTGTCTTGAAGCTTCGTCCTACCAATCCCAAGCATGCCAGGTAAGTGTGACTATTGACATTGGCATTCCCTCTCGTCAATGTTGTTGAGTAATTGACTGACTGTTCTCAGTGTCTGCGATGAGTCTGAAGAAGATGTCTTCCTTACCGCCCCTGTTGCCGCCAAAGGCCAACAACTCTCTCCCACTGCTGAAGTCTTCACTCCAAAATTGTCCAAAGGCTTCATGAAGAAAGAGGGTCAGGCTCAGGCTGGATACGTTGACCGTGCTCAAGATACCGTTGGAGTAAGACCTTCCTGCATCGACATTGACAGAGTACATACACTAACAACCCTGCAGTCGCGCATGCCTGCTAAGTTCGCGTATTTCCCCGTCAACGTTCCTGGAGCTCCGCGTCCTGCTCAAGTCCCCGCTGTCAATCCAAACGCTGCTCGCTATGGATTTGGCTTGCTGAAACTTGATGAGACTCCCTTCAATCACGTCGCTGGTATCTTCCTCCATGACTTCAACATCACTGAAGGTGTCTTCAGTCTTGATGAGGGTATCTCTCGTTCCTTTGTCGTCACCGGTGTGCCACTTCAGTTCACTTCGCAGGTCGTCAGCCGCCACTTCCCGGTAAGATAACCCATTGGCTCTCGTCTTCACACGCATGTACTAACGGCAGCAGATTGAGTACTTCCCAAGCATCAGAGGAATCAACTCCACTGCAATCTCCAGCGGCCTCTTCGTTGTGTCCTGCGCTGATATTCGCGATGCAAAGCGAGCTGCGGACGTCGCCAACACCATCTTGCCTTACAGCTACATCTTTCCCCTCAAGGCAAAGAAGTACACTTCGGACAATGGTGGAGACCCGTCCCTCGTCACCGACCATGAAGGACAAGTCATCGTCAGTATCTACTACAATGGACATGCTACTGCACCACCGGTTGAAGCAGCCCCTATTGTTGCTGAGGTCAGACGTCTTCTTGCACAGTGTGGTGACGTAAAGGCTTTTCATACCATCCCCACTACCCAGACTCACGTCCGCGAGATCCGTGTGGAATTCTTCAACGCCGACCTCGTTGAGGTTGCCAAGGATGTCATTCGCGGAACCATCATCCATGTATGTTGTCTCCCTCTGACCAACTCCAGCAGACTGACATATCTTAGGGTGCTGTTTTGGATGTCGCGTCGTTCCAGCCTGACGTTCGTGTTGTTACCGAGCTTGACGAGGAACATCACGAACAACTTTCTGTCACTGGTCGCTCACGAGTCCCTTTCGATCCTGACTACGATCGTATTGCTTATGCAATCCAGCGTGATGGTCTTCGCAATGGTCGTCGCCTTAACCAAGCCATGAACCACAACGCCGTCGATATTGCTCGTATCCAGGCTGGCCTTGATGTCCGCACCACTGTCAGTTTCATCTCATCAGACTTTGCTGCCTCTACTGACATCATGTTCAGATCATGCTCCGCAACATCCCAAATCGTGTTGATCAACCCATGTTGAAGAATCTCCTTGATGTCACCAGCCGTGGCCGCTACGACTTCATGTACCTGCGCATTGGTAAGTTGAAACTTGTCTCACCGTCTCAGTTGCTCAATTGCTCACAACATTGGCAGATTTCGCAAACAACTGCAATGTCGGCTACGCCTTCATCAACTTCATTGATGTCAGTCCTTCCTTACCTCTACGTCATTGCTGCTGCTAACTCTTCTTCAGGCCCAGTCAATCATTCCCGTTGGTGACCCCATCATATTCACTTGTCCTTCCTGTCACTCACTTCTGTTTTAGTTCGTCCTTGCTCGCGCCGGTAAGCGCTGGAACTGCTTCGCCTCAGACAAGATTGCCGAGGTCTCTTATGCTAGTGAGTGTTATCTCTCTTCACTGTGCCGTCTTCACAATGAGCTCACCATGTCACGCAGCCATTCAAGGAAAGGATTGTCTTGTCCAGAAGTTTCGAAACTCTTCCGTCATGCTTGAGCACCCTGGCTTTCGCCCCAAGGCAAGTTGAGTCATCGCGTACCCTCTTTCTTTCCCAGCTGACCATCTTTGCAGCTCTTCGTCGCCGGCAATGTTCAAAATGCCGGGCAAGAGGAGAAGTTTCCCGAACCTGACAACCACTCAAAGATGCGTCGTTCGGTCGAGAATGCGGAGCATGTTGGTCTGTACCTCCCACTTCGTTTGAATCCTGGCTGGTACCCTGTGCCAAATCCTGGTGCTGCTGCCTTTCGTCGTCGCCGTCCCATGCGTCGCACCGGAAGATTCAACGTTGCTGAGATTGTCCGCAATGGTGTCTACATGCCTCCTGCTCGTGCCAACAAGCCCACAACGAGCAGCCCTCCCAAGGCTTCTGCAAACAAGACATCACCGACACGTCGCCGAGTTCCTTTCTTCATTGACACTCGCAATCCTTATGACCCGTTTGCCGGTCGTCCCCGCCGCACCTTCTCTCCGTGAGCATACTTATTCTTATCTCGTCTTCGACTTTCGGTGCGCTGACTGTGGTGCTTTATAGGACTTTTCGCGCCTAGGCAAGGCCAGGTGTACCGTGAAGAACAACGTCGTCGCCGCTCTCAATTTGACCGAGGCACCCCTGGTGCTGAGAACGAGTTGGGCGTTGCACCTCGCTATCGTCTTCAAGATCCCGCGCTCGAACACATGGGCAATATTCATCTTCCACGTTATTAAAACAGCATGATCGTGGCGCTGGACGTCTTTCGATGTTTCAGGTCACACCATGTTGGCATCATGGACAGTTGGTGGTGATCAATACCGGTGGTCTGGAGGGCCGCTTCTTGCCTGTCGGCTTGGATTTTCTTTCCTGCTTGACTTACGGAATGGATGGGACACTTGGTCTTTTGAGATCAAGTTGGTCTCATCCTGGACAGCCAGGGAAGGAGTGTGCTGGGCCAAGGGCCCAAGGCCGAGTCAATTGTTTTGTTTGCTTTTCTTGTGCCCCCCTGTGTTATTACACAGGTGTTTCCCCCTAATACTTGCAATGTTTTTTTCTCTTTTTTTTGCTTTTCAAAGAAAAAATGTGAGCAGGGATTTCTATGAAATCAATGTATGGCGGTGAGATGGGGCGGAGCTTGGACTTTACTGGAGGACAAATTTTGTACCATCGACACAGCGTGTACTGATCACTCATAGTGATCCAATAGCTTACAAAAAAATGGATTCAATCCACTCGTCTTGTTCAAAGCCCTTAATTTGTCGTTGACATTGTATGTCGCCTGGGAAAACGTAGGCGTTGAGGGTGCGGCGCGAGCCGCCGTCAATTTGTCCCAAACCATGCACCCTTGAACGGACTGTTTTTCTGGCATGTCGATCATCCACAAAGCGCGCGCTGCCCACATCGACTCTACCATCGATGCCAACGCTGCTTGATTGTGATACCTGCTGCAAGCACATTCGAAAGATCACTGTCTTCAACGCGGTCGACGTCGGCTCAGGCGGCGTCACATCGCACGTGCCCTCTTGCTCACCATCGCGGGCAGAGCCCATTTCCTACGGCAGCGTCCTTCTTTGTCAGTGAGGGACGATATCTCTGGTTCAGGACACACACACACACACACACACACACACACACACACACACACACAACACACACACAACACACCAAGGCACACACGAACCATCA